CTAGTCTCTAGAAAGTTTTGTAATAAAATAGGCAAGATCTCTGTGAAACAAAAAGTAAGAGAGCATCCTTGTCCTGTTCACCCATTGCTGTGCAACATCTTTGGTTTGAAGACATTGTGTGTTTGTGCATACAAACCCAGTAACTGGACAGTTTATGAGACTTAGAAATGGGAATTTGTCCAGAGATGTGGTGGATGCCCCATCCTTGGAGCATTCAAGGCCAGGCTGGATGGGGCTGATAGAGCTGTAGGTATGTTTGTTGCAGGGGAGTTGGGCCAGGTGGCCTTTAAGGGTCCCTTCCAACTCAAACCATTCTGTGATTCTGTGATTCCAGTGTATGAAATCCATAAGAAAAGAGCATGGAGACAGACAGTCTGAAATAGGTCTTTTGCACAGGGGAGAAAGAAATCAGCCTGCACTGACATCTGTGCCTACAATCACCTCAAGCATGTGGCCAGGTGGGTCTGTCTGAGTGGTGTTTGGTGACTGGCACTGCTTTTCCAGTTGAACTGACAGATCTCACCTCATTACCTCATTTTGCAGTCAATTTCCACAATTATTAATAAGCCACAAAAAGGACTGAAAGATGTAAGAACTGCAATTTCTACAAAAGGATCTGGGACATCTCCCCCACTGCAGTGCCTTAGCTCCTCTAAGCAGCCAAGCCAGGATAATTCCAACACTGCAGCCATCAGACAGAATCAAAGAGAGCACTGTGCCATCCTGGGGCGTTTATAAAGGTTGCTAAGCTATGTGTGTTTGCTGTCCAGTGACAGTTATTGTTAATTCCTGTACATCAGAATTCAGAGCAGTGTGACCACAAAAGCAGCTTTGAGGATGGGTGCAGCAGACCAGGTCCATCTAGTGGCCAGCGAGAGGCAGATTGCACTGGCTGCATTTCAGCATGATATGTACACTATTTCTGATCATTTCGAGAGGAAAAAAAGAGGCTGGGGGAAAAGTCCGTGGTCTGGAGATAATATTTTGCTGGAGTTTTAAGCAATTGAAAACATTCTTGTATCACAAACAGATCTCTGAGGAAATCGAAGCAGCACTTATTAACCATTCTTTCAGTGTTGGAGCTGTGGGTATGTATGGTGTGTCTGTATGTATACAGAGATATGTGAATGGGTGAAACAAGGGAGAGCAATTTACTAATGACTCTTTCTTACAAGGTCATTTGCTAAAAGCTGTATCCTAACGTGAGATTTATTTTTTCCAGCAAACCTGTAATTATTTCAGTATTAATCTACTAACAGTGTTTTCTCGCTTGATTTCTTTCACTATAATCATGAGTGAGTCTACACAGCAGCTTTCTTTCAGGTGTGCAGGCAGCCATTTCACGTGGCTATTTTAAACTCTGAGTGAAGAAGCAAATAAACAGAAGAGCAGGGTGGCTCCGTGGCACACACTGTGCAGTACTCGGGCACGTTCTTCTCAATCATTTCAGCTGGGGGAGAAAATCACCAGTAGCTACGTACAAAATATGATGCTCAGTTGTGGATTTCAGTGCCCTGTGCCAGTAGCACAGACAAATTTAATTAAAGTTAACAGCTTAAACAACTGCCAGACTCCAGAAAGCGTCCTGGTGAGAAGCTGTGCTTTGGGCTCCATGATTAATTTCCTGTCTTTTCACTTTCTGTCTGGCAGGATCTCAGTGGCCCCATTTCAAAGCCACCCTCTGCAGTCCCCCCTATATCACCATGCTGCTCCTCACCCTACTGGTATCCACCACTGTACCCTCAGCACCTCTCGACTTGATAAGCAGGCTGGGGAGATGCTGAGCTGGTTTGGAAAGAGAAGCCACCCAAGTGTATGTGGTACAACTGTATGTATGCACACTGCTCTTTCCATGGAGCAATCCCAGATTCAGCAATTGTTCCAAAGACATCAGCACAGTTTTAAGTTTTAAAGTAACAGATCAATGGATTGACATTTATTAACTATATACATCCCATCAACACACAATTAGTCCACGACAAACTCATCCTAAATTATCTGTGAGTATAAAATAGAGGAGTGTTGATACTCTGAGGCTTGCACAGCTTCCAAGGTACAGGACTTTGTGTGTTGCTTGAGGTGGGAAACCAGTGGTGTGGTACGACGTTCTTCCTTTGTTTTCCTTCATTCTGTGTTGGTGTTTTCTTCTTCTCTTGAATGGAAAGGAGGACCCCTCATTTGCTCTTGTTGCACTCTTGTTGAGTTTACTTCTTGTTCTTGCTTCCCATACATCAAGCATGCAGCCATGTGTGCCTTCCTGCTTGCCCAGCCTCTGTGTGTTTATGCCTTGCTGGTTTATCAGGTGCCTTTTGCTACTGCAGTTGTTACAGATCTACAGAGTGCTTAGCCATACTCCATGGTTATACTTGGTTAATTTGCTTCCACTTTTTAGGAGCAATAGGGAACAGCCATAGCAACCTGGTTCTGCTGGGTGACCATTCAGTCCCACCAGTGAGTATCTGTGTCTCTTAAAGAACAGGGTGATTGCACAAGGGAGAAGGTAAATGCTACGACTACTTCTAATCGTCATCATCATCTTGGAAAGGTTTCCAACATTTTCTTATATATGTCCTGGGGAAGCAATCCTGAGATTTCCTGTTGAGGCGTGGCAGATGGAAACAAATGCACTATACTCTTTGTTCATAGAAGATAAACAGGAATGTGTTTACTGACATAAGTTGCTGTTAAATCACAACATTAACAAGAATCAAGATGGCTGGATACGCTTGATGTTCTGCATAGAGGGTAGGGTTAAACACATACAGGGCCCTCCTGTTGAGTCACAAGGTTCAGAATGGACCCCCTTGCTCCTAAACTCCTTGGACCACAGAGGAAAGGAGCCTTAATGTGGCTGGATCCTCTCCTAGTCCCAGAATTGGTCAGCAATTTTTGTCACAATCAATCCAAGATGTGACCTTAGCAAAAAAAAAAAGAGATAGAACAGGTTATTAGTCACTTACTGAGGACATGTATCAGCAAGGTGTCTTGACATCGAGGTGTAAGAATTCTCTGCACAGGTATTACCTTGAGAGGTATCTTTACTCACAAGGAGATGCAACTGTGCAGGAGAGCTCAAAGGGGCTCTTGGGCTACTCACTGTTTATGGGATAGGATGACTGACTTTTGTAGTCATAGTGTTGTCTTAAGTTTGGATTACCAAAGTAGAAGGAATGGAGTTTCTGTCCTACAGCAGAAAGGAAGCAGGGAAGGAAGAGCTACTTTAAATGCAAGTGAAGCATGGGGCACACCAGTGGAGCTGAGTGCCTCCAGCACTGAGACAAGCTGAAGCAGCCTGCTCCATGCAGGAGGGAGGCTATCCATTAGAACTACTGGTAGGAATTCCTTCTGCCCCTCACACTTAAGATCTTGGGATAGATGGAAAACCCCTGTCTTGGCATCTCCACTTAAGTCAGGCAGGGAGTTATGAGTGATGCTAAGTTACATGATGGGAGGTCTGTGTCCATCTTCTTTGCTGGACATGGACATGCACTTTGGACACAAGAATCCCATGCATCTCTACATGCTTGGGGCAGAGTGGCTGGAAAGCTGTGCAGAGGAAACTGACTTGGGGGTGTTGGTCAGTGCTCAGCTGAACATGAGCCAGCAGTGTGCCCAGGTGTCCAAGAAAGCCAACAGCATCCTGGCTTGTATCAGATATAGTGTTGCTAGCAGGAGCAGGGGGGTGATCATCCCTCTGTACTCAGCTCTGGTGAGGCCTTTGCTGAGTACTGTGTTCAGTGTTAAGCCTCTCCCTGGGAGAAAGACATCAAAGCCCTGGAGAGTGTCCAGAGAAAGGCAAAGAAGCTGTGAGGGGTCTGAAGCACAGGCCTTATGCGGAGCAGCTGAGGGAACTGGGAGAAAAGGATGCTCAGGAGAGATGTTACTGGTCTCTACAACTACCTGAAAGGAGCTTGTAGTGGTGGGGATCAGCCTCTTCTGTGTAACTAGCAAGAACACAAGAGGGAATGACCGTAAGTTGCACCAGGGAAAGTTCAGGTTGGATATTAGGAATAATTTGTTCTCAGAAAGAGTGGTCAGGCATTGGAACAGGGCTGCCCAGGGAGATGGTGGGGTCAGCATCCCTGGAGGTGTTTAAGGAAAGGGCAGATGTAGTACTTAGGACGTGTTTTAGTAGGCAGCACTAGTGATAGGTAGACAGTTGGGCTGAATGGTCTTAGAGGCCTTCTCCAATGAAAAAATGATTCTGTGATTCTGTGCAAACAGACTTTCCTTTTCTAGATGCAGTTTCAAACGCAATAATCCACATCAAGATTGTGTGTCATACAGTTTGATTGAATGGAGAGTATTTTAGGCATAATATTAAAAACTCAGTTATACTGAAGGAAGAATTTTGGATGATGGAATCACAGAATTGTAGGGGTTAGAAGAGAACTCATGAGATCATCAAGTCAAACCCACCCTGCTAAAACTCTTACGTTGCTTTATGCTCTCATGAATGCTGTTTGAGAATGGGCAAAACCCAACTTCCTGCTCATTGCTCAGTCTTTCCTTACCTTGGTTTCCTTACCTCCTGGCATCCCTTGGATTTGTAAATGATCTTCGGCTGTTTTTGGCATTCATCTGAAATAGCATCAGTGCACTCCAAATAAGAAAAAGATGAAGAATGGCACCATCCTGCAGGATTTCACGTGGCTGGATGTGCCTTTGTGGAGACAAACCTACAAAAGAAAATTGATTAGTCACTGATGCATCTGATGTAGTTACTCAGCTTCTAAGCTGTTACACAGGTGTATGTCTTCTACTGTACCGTGCTGCAAACTTCTGATTTAAATCTGCTTCTTTACTGCAAAGTTTTGTTGCACTTTACCATAAAGATTTTTTTTTGTCTAGAAAAACTTAAGGATTGGGGTTCAGGTTGGCTGCAGGACCAACGGCATTTTCACAAATGCATAAACATCTCTTTAACATCATGCTTTGACTGTTCTGTGCTCTGATGCTAAAATAGCTGAATGCTTGTTTCTCTATTCCTTCCTTTTCAGAACATCAGTACTGGGGCTCCGACCTACAGCTTCCCAAAATACCTTTTGAAGAAATCATGTACGATGATGAGAGTGCCTACAAGTGGCTGTGCACCCTGAAGAAGATGGGAGTTGTGCTGCTAACAGGAGCTGCTGCAAGGCAGGGAGAGTTGGTGAAGCTTGGCCACAGGATTGGTTTCCTGCGTCTCACTTTTTATGGGTGAGTTGGGATTTTTAATAACCTTGCTTTGCCAGCTATGTAATTACTTCCAGAGCATTTGAATTCAGCTTGCTGGACCTCTCTTGTGGGTTAATTTATTAAAACAGGATTAATTTTTCCTTGCCTGCAGATGCAAGGACAATTCTTACTGAAAAGCCACAAGCAGATCCACAAGGCAGCATTGTGTACCCCATGAGGCTACACAGAAGGCCTCTTCCAAATTGCTGTATCCACAAACAACAGTGGACTCTGCAGCTTGGCCTAGGTTACCCCTTCCTTGGTAAGATTTCAGGAGTAGGTTCTCATCTTAGCTTCAGTTAACGTGTTGGCCAGGAACGGACATTGAGGAGGAGGTAAAATGCAGGCTGGTTGAAATCCAGAACCCAGTTCCACAGCATGTCCCATCTGGGCACAGATCCCAGCCCTGTGTGCTCCTGGGATAATAGATATTAAAGCACAGTTATTTCTTGTGCCTGAATAGACCCCCAAACCAGAATATTTAGAGCTTTCCATCTAGAAAGCTCCCTTCTCCCCTATAAAAAGATAAAATATCAGACTTGTCCTTCACTTGGACCTACATTGTTCAGAAAATAACCAGGTAAATTATGTGGGCAATAACCAGCGTCTCTTCCTTTGACTAAAATGGCTTAAAACAGAAAGAAGTAGAAATATAAAAAGTCAGCCTTTGCCAGAAGGACCATATTCCCTCCAGTCTTCAACTCATTCCCCTTCATGCAGTCGGAGGCTTTTTTCTTTCCCCTGTCTACTTACTGGGCCAGAAAGAAAAGTAGATTTCAATGTTAGCTGGGATTCAGTCATGTCAATCCTATTAAAACCAATGAGAACAGAACTCCCTGCTCGACTTGGAAACCTCACCTCGTGCTAGTTAACATTTTCTGCTGTTAAAAGCATTCCTGATGTCAGGCACTTCTCTGCTTGGCAGCCTACCACAGATCTTACTTGACAACTTGTGCCATGATGAAAGTGGTACTTTTTGCTGTTTCTGTTCTGACGTGATCCTAATAACAAAGTTAAGCCAACAAAAGATTCAGATTTAATTGTATCATCAGTTGTAGGGTTTTGTTTGTTTGTTTGCTTTTGTTTTTTATATCTCTTTCATAAAGTTAGACATGTACCTCACTGATTCTCACCAAATATGATTATAAAGAGCAGTGTTTATTAAATACTTCCCCTTGTTTCAGGCCAAGGTAGAAATTGGACATCAGTCCCTTGTTTCAGGCCAAGGTAGAAATTGGACATCAGTCCACACCATTTAGACAAATAACAGTTAGAGCTGTTTTCACTGTTAAAATCAAATTTTCTGTTGGTGTTGATTCAACCTTATTTTCATGCTGTTAATCACAAAGACTGTAAACAGAAAGTTGGGCTGCAAAGCATTAACCCTTCTCAAAAGAGTCGCTCACTGTTCTGCTGCACAACTGTTAGCCACATCTCCTCCTCACAGTAGGCTTACACACACCCTGGCACACACAGTGCTCATGAAATGGGCTTTAAATGACTCTTCAGACCATGCTTTTTTTAAGTCTTTTAAAAAATAATTTTATTACTTCAGCTTATTTTGGGGGGATAGCAGTGCTGACTTTTTTCAAGTGTTTTATAAGGAAGCAGTTGCTTAATTTTTGCCATGTATATCTGGAATTCACTCTTAAAATACTACAGAGGAGAGAAGACTTTACCATTGGTATCTTTTCTCCTAACTTAACCTGTTTAATTTTCAGGCAGTTATTGCCATACCTGGTTGTGCTGTTCTCAGACATTGCTCACAGTAGCAGAAAATCTCCTGAGCTTCCAGTCTTAACAACAGGCTTAGAGCCATTTTATGTCTCTTCCTCTCTAAAAAAGAAGTTCATATATTACTGGCAGACAGTTCTAAAAAGAGATTTTTAGAACTGTAATAAAATAAGTGTTGCTAATCCCCTTGCTATTTCACCAGTGCCCAAATGCAAGACGTAACAAATACTGTAAAGAAAAGGGATGAATTTGGATTGGCCCAGCTTGGCAAATAAAACATACTTCTGTAGGGCCGTGTATGCTTACTGGAACGTAACAGTAACAGATATATCCCAGACGAGTGGAAAAATGTAAGTTTTTTTTCACATCTAGATGTCTGCTTGGTACATTGCTACCCTGTAATGTCATCAGAATCATAGAAAGGCTTGGGTTGGAAGGGCCCTTAAAGACCATCCAGTTCCAATCCCCTACCATGGGCTGCTTCCCACCCACCTGAGCAGGCTGCCCCATCCTGCCTGGCCTTGAGCACCTCCAGGGATGGGGCATTCACAGCTTCTGTGGGCAGCCCCACTTCCACCTCTCACAGGGCTCCAGCTGCCATAGAAGGATGCAAGTCCCAAACCTTTTGTGAATGAGACCTCAATTTTTAATAAAGTGCAAGGCCAGACAATTTAAATGTGGCTTCAGTTCCTACTGCAACCATTTGCCAAAACTAAAGATGTGGCAGGCACACTAGCTCTCTGCTCAGAGAGACTTAGCTCACATTGCCTCTTAATGCCAAAAAAGTTGCTGCACCTGCCTGGTGCCAAATTTCCTGCTCAGTCAAACAGTATGAGCAGTTGAGGTTGAAATTTAACTGTGATTTCTAAGTCATAAACCATTCCAACTGCTCTTTAAGGGTGAGAGCTTTCTAACACTACCTGTGTTTTCTTCCTTGCTTATCATGCACTTGCTAGCTCTCTGTGTGGCTGGGTTCGTACTTCAGAGCCAGTGATACCCTGACAAAGTGAAACTGATTATTTTCCACGCTTAGCACCCAGCTCCCTGTTAGCACTGCTTTCTCTTTTTAACCATGGCTGGCTGCAGTCAGTGATGAGCTCTGACAGCAGCTCCACACGTGGAGGGGTTCCCGGGGACCAGCTCCCTGCCAAGCAAAGCAGCAGGACAGCTCTGACTTCTTTTGCAAGGTGGTATCACAGTGACTTAGAAATTATTCTCATTCCAGCAATCCTATGTAGAATTGCAGAATTGTTTGAGTTGGAAGGGACCAATGTCATCTAGTCCAACTCCCCTGCAATGAACAAAAAGCATTTGTGGAGTATATAACATGATTTTGGTCCCCATGTTCTTTAGCCTCTGTTTTAAATACTAAGAAGTAATACTTGAGCACACTACACATAGTATATTTGGTGTACAGTAGTTAAAATAGGAAATAAAATGAGTTTTATAATTTTCTTTTAAGTAATTTATGCTCCTGTGATGCCATAGACTGCCTATGGTGACATATATAGACGGATCTACATTTATTGAGGGCTGTCTTCAGGCACGTGCTCTGTACAATCCTAACATGTGATTGATGGTCTTAATTACTCCTGTGCAGCATATCACTTGAAACATATTTTGGTTATGCTGCAAGGTGATGTATTCATGGCTTTATTATACAACAAAGATTATACTCTTTCTGCAGATGTGAGTAAAGTTTCTTACAACGTTTTGTCAAATTGCAAGTCACAAACTATATAATCAAATAAAGGGGGTAGCCCTCAGAAAGAGCAGGAAAGAAAAAGAAGTTAGAAAGCTTTTCCTTCAATGGCAAGTCTTCAAGTACCAGGAAAGCTCCCACTGTGGAAGGGAAGGTTAGTGTGTTTTCCAAGACTGTGAAGCTCTAACAGCAGGGGTACAACAACGTTTTTCATAACGTTCATCAACGTGTACTCCACCTGGCAGGGATGAATGTAAAGTTGATAAGAAAAGCTCCAGCTTCCACTCTCTTACTTCTGAAAATGATGATTTAGCCCAGCAGATAGGTTTAGTTCACATCTCACCTGAACCTTACATGCAGCAAACCACCCCCACTGGAAGCCATTGTTCCCTGAGGCCAGATGCCCCTCTCCATACTCAGCTATAGCACTGTTTTAAAAAGAATCACCAGCTTTGCTGAAACAGATCGCCCTTCATAGAATGGCTTGGGTTGGAAGGGACCCCAAAGATCATCAAGTTCCAACCCCCTTCCACAGGGCAGAGCCACCAACTTTTTATATATAATTTCATATTATTTTGAATGTTCAAAGATGCAGTAACTCAGCTCTACTCTGATTTCACACTCTCACCTTGCACTAGCTGGTTGTTCAACACGTTTGCTCTTTGCCCTTTCGTTGTACAGGCTGACTTGGCAAGTGCAGGACAAAGCAGATGCCAACAATGTGGCTTACACGACAGGGAAGCTGTGCTTTCACACCGACTACCCTGTCCTGCAGCATCCACCTGGGGTAAGGTGAACCTACTGGCTTCTTCACAATGCAAAGGGGGAAAGCACGAGGGTCCGGTATGTGCTTTTTCATTATATCAAAGAAGTTGGGATGCTGCAGTTTAGATGCTGCAGTCACATTGTGACGTCTTAGGACAAGAGGAGAAGCAATTGGGAGAAGAATGATTAAGATACTGTATTGCCTTCTGCAAACTGGCTGAGGTTAGACAAGTTTTCACCCTTTCACAGAATCACAGAAACACCAAGATTGGAAAAGACCTACAAGATCATCCAGTCCAACCATCCACCTATCACCAATAGTTCTCACTAAACCATATCCCTCAGCACAACATCCAAACGTTCCTTGAATGCTCATGAACGTTCCTTCCATGAAAGGCCACTCCGTAAAGCTGAACCACTGCAGGAATAGGTGGTCACCCCATCCCTGTCACAGCAAAGCCCAATCCACTTCATCAGAGAACTGAAAAGCAATAGAAATGTGTGCGAAGGAACAAGTTAACCCTGCAAAGGTTTGCATCTATACCTACAGCTTCCCTTTCTTATTCGTCAAGAGTACTTCATATCATTTTTTTCATTAATTAAAACATCAGTGTGGTTTATCCACATATAAATGCCAGATTAACATCACCTATTAAAGTCATTTAGATGCTCTTCATTAATATAATACTAAGATTAAGAATAGAACAGTTGTAGCAATTGGACAGATCAGTACAATGGGAAAAGCATTACAACAAAGGTGAGATGATGAAAGGACTGGAACAATAGAGAGGTGCTATAAGGGAAGGGAAGAAGATTGGGAAGGGAAGAAGATTGCTTAGCTGTATCAGAAGATTCTAGAATGACAGGGGAAAGCATCACCAAAGAGGGAACTCCAGAAAGAGATCCTGCCCCAGTAGCAGTCAGCCCTTAAATGATGTCTAAGGGAGGTGCAGCCAGGCTCCACCCCTTCTGATCACTCAGGTGAATTGCCTTCACCTGTGCTCTCCCAGGGCTGACCAGGTCCTTTCCCCAGGTGCTCAATCAGTGGTTCTGGCCGTAACTCAACAGTTCCCATACAACAGTACTTTGTTAATTGAGCACAGATGTGAATTAACTCAGTGTCTCGTGTGTGCCAAGGCTCTCACTGCTACCAAACACGAGTAAAAGGGCAAAACCTTTTTCATTCAAATATGCTCACAAGACATAGAATCCAAAGGCGGTGGGACAGTAGGGCAGGAAGCTGCTGCATCATGTGGATAAGCTATTTGTAGCCTTTGCAAGCCAATGAAGATTAGAGGAAGAATGGCTGTCTGCCAATCTTGGACAGAGCTGTTTCCTTCTGCTCTGTGCTGATGGAGACCCCTCCTGCACCAGCAGCTGCTTGGTCCTTACCTCCAGGGCTATGGGTGCAGTGCTTCAGGAGACTGTGACAGACTGTTCTCTGCTCCTCTGTCCCCATTGTTTCTTATTTTTTCCTCCCACTGGTCTCAGAAATAGTTCACCACCATGGAAGGGAAACATGGCCATTGTTAGCTCTGCATTTTTAAAGGTAGCTTTGTTTTGCACGACAGATGTGTATTGTCTAGTTTGGCCAAGATTAATGTGCTCTGCCTGATGCTTGACTCGTCAACATCCCAGGGAGTTCCTGTTCCATCCTATTCCTTGGCAATTTCACTATGAAGTGCAATTAAGCTTCCTCAATCCTATTTTATTACAGACATTAGGTCTGTTGCCATCCATAAGCCACCTTTGCCCGTGTGAACAGATAACTCACAATGCAAGAGCAAAGCAATCCTCTTTGCAGAGATAAGGAGGGAGACTGCACCAAAAAGCAGTTTGAGAGAAAGAACTGACAGCAGAGACTTGCAGAAAATAATAACAGGCTGCAAGTCTTAGAAGATCTCTCAAAGGGGATGCAATTATGGCACTTCAATTTTCTGCCTACATGATAATGGCTGCAGAGTGCTTGAAGCTACAGGAATTGAAACTCAGTGTTTTGCTTGGAAAAAAACACACAGATATGAGACTGATTCTAATGGACTGTTAAATACAGAAGCTAATTCTTCTTGAAGTGTGATCTTAATTCGTTACAGGTTCAGTTTCTCCACTGTATTAAACAAACAGCCACAGGAGGTGAGAGTGAAATTGTAGATGGATTTCATGCAGCTAACAAGTTGAAGCACCAAAATCCTCAAGCTTATCAGATCCTGACCTCTACTGCTGTAGACTACACGGACATTGGGGTTGACTACTGTGATTTTGCTGTGCAGGGTAAACAAAGGATCATAGAGTAAGTGGCCTCCATTCTCACACAATTACACTGGAAACTAAAGTTGTTGATGTTTGTACGGTGGAACATGTGTTGGTAGGTCTGCTCCTGCCACCTCGTGGGGAAATGATGGCTTCACTGTGCCTGGGGTTACATCTTTGTTATGGGTTTTTTGGTTTGTTTTTTTTTTTTTTTGTCCAGCATGTTATTTTTCTTTCCTTTGTCACACTACAGCATAGTTTTCCTTATTCAGACTCCCTTGCACTAGCAAGAACTCGTGGGCATTAGGGTAACTTCCAGGCACGGTGCCACAGCAGCTGGGCTTGTTACTAAATTCCAGCCCGTGCTGTGTGTCTGCACATCTATTCCATGCCAAAGAGAGGTCCTAATTTGAAGCATTTAGAGTAAGAAGGACACACTATAAAAAGATCAAATTCAACTTTTTCTGAATTTTAAAACTTTGACTCTATGATTAATGTGTACAGAATACTGATTTTTGTGGAAACTGTCTGCATTTTTTTCTGATGACCCCTTTCCCTAGTTAGGATTGATTATCAAGTTCCTACCCAATAATGATCTTGAATGAAGGAAACGAACTTGTCCTCTGACACAGAATTGAATTTAGTTGTAGAAAAACACTGAAACTTCAACAGGAGAGTTCAGTCATCCATTAGACACGTCAAAAGGTTTTCTGTTCCTCCCCTCATCTGTTTTGCAGTGTGGATTACAGAGGCCAAGCAGTTCGCATCAATTTCAATAATGCAACAAGAGACACAGTGTTTGACATACCAGCTGAAGAAGTGAGGCCATTTTATGCAGCTCTGAAGGAATTCAATGATTTATTAAACAGCACAGAACACAAGTTTACTTTCAAGCTGAAACCAGGTCAGTAAGTTGTTTCTCTTTGCAGTGATGTTTCACATTTTTCCTAACATGTCAAAATATTCTAGCACTGTTAGCTCTATTCTGGCATAGAGAGGAAATTTCTGCCCTTCTCTCACCTGTTTTATTTCACTGCTATATCCTTACATAGTTTATTCTGCCCTGCTTCACTTAAAAAAAAAAACAAAAAACCACAGTTTGTGATGGGCAATGTAGTCTATCTTCTTGTGACAGTGACAACTCATGCTACGTAGGAAACACATCAGTAGCACCACGTCACTTGCACAGCTGTTGGGCCATCCCAATTCACCACATCCACATCCCTGTGCTTCATTTGATGTGCAACACTCCACGCTGTTAGTGGGGCACCTTCATAACTGCTGCAGGAGCTGCAGAACAGCTCAGAAATCACAGATGCACAATGCTGAGGGAGACTGAATCGCACAGCAGGGAATCTAGCTATCTTCTTTGCACAGACAATGAATGCCTGAGTACAGGGCTGTGTTCTGAACATGTGACGTGCTGCACAAATGTTCTTTAAAAGTCAGCCTATGCATATTTTTGACTAGCTTGGCCTTAATCTCAGATCCTTTGTTCTCCAACTATAAAATAAAGATATGTACAGTCTCTCACCTCTCACAAGGTGCCACAGAAGTAAACTCATTAGTGTATCTGACTGCCTCGCACACTGCGATGCTGCTTGCTTTAAAATATCTGTGAGGAAACTAATTATTACCTATTCTGAACATACAGTAAAAATAACGTATAAGATCACATAATAAATGGTAAAATAAACTACTTCAAAGTACCATCAATTAATGCTCCAAAATGGTGGCAGAGGGAAGGGAAAGAAGGAAAGAAAGAGTATGAGGTTAGTTAATTAGAGATTTTTAATTAGAGATTTATCATAATGGTAGCACACAAGGGAGAGAAATTGAAATGGCAAGCTGGCCTTAATTATGCCAGTTCCTAACTTCCTATCTTTTAACAGGGATAGTAATGCAGGATGCATACTGTGTAAGTACTTCCAGACTGATCAAGTGAAAATTGCCCTTGTGCCTTTCATGCCTTCTGTCCTTCCCATAGATTTGCAGTAGTGGTGCTTCCGTTCAGGAGGTGCTTTTCTCTGGAGTGCAGATCTCCTAACAGTTCACTTAATTGTGCCTCTGAGCTGTGGCAAGCCTACGTACTGCTGGGGCTACATAATGCACTGGGCTGAGCCCCAGCTGCAGGTTTTCTGTTGATCTCTGTATCTAGCATCACCTCAGTACAACCTTTTCCAAACAACAGTCATGAGGTAGAAAGTTCAAATGAAAGGTATGTGTTGTATGTTACTCTGGTCTATCTTTCTTGCCCAGTTCTGGCAGACTCTATTTGTCCACACATCCCAGCATCTGGGAAGAAAAATATGACTTCTTTTATTAGCAGAAGTTTTTTTTTTAAACAGGGACCTTCTTATAAGGAAATGTGTCTAATCACGTTGTCTAAGACATCCCAGCTGGTTTCTTTTCTGCCTGCCCACGAGATTGGCCAATACAAGAAAAGAAGTAGAGTTGGAAAGGGACCTGCCCTCTTATTTGAAATGATCGCTTCCTAACTGTTGATCTAGATAAATCTCAACGCTGTCTGCTTGAAGGAAGACAACATACCCAATGTCAAACTTTGTGCAATGTCTTTGCAGGAGACATAGTAACGTTTGATAACTGGCGCGTGCTGCACGGCCGCAAGAGCTATCAGTCAGGCTCTGAAGTGACACGGCACCTCGAGGGCGCCTACGCAGACTGGGATGTGGTCATGTCGAGGCTCCGGCTCCTCCGAAAGAGGGTCCTCAACAGGGACTGAGTTTTTTCCTGCTGATTAGAACAAGCAAAACTAGATTGCCTACCCTCAAAAAAAAAAAAAAGAAAAAAAGAGAAAAAAAGCCATTGTATTTTAATTGAGAAACTAACATGGTGAATATCTGAATCTATTATTGGCTTCCATTAGCTGCTATGAAAGCTGTCACTCAGCACAACATAAGGTCTATCTCTGGTCTGGTAATTTACGAGTGAATCACTACCTCATTGAGTTTAAAGCCATTTTTCACACAGTTTTTAAAAAGCAAATAAAGGGTGTCAGCTTGTGGGCTGACTGGGTATCAAGCTGCCTTAAGTCACCTTCACTAATACACCTGCCTCCCTAGGAAGCTCGAAGGGATGTCAAGAAAGTTTGGAAGCATTGCTTATTAAGGGTTTGTCATGAACTACCAACCACTATTTTCAAAAAAAAAGTGTCCTTCATTGTACAAATCATAATCAAACTAATTTCTAAACTAAACAACCTCTGCTTTGGAGTTATTTGTCTAGAGAGACCTTTCTGAACAGAACCACACTTCAACACAAGTCATTCAACAAGTGCTCTAGCCTATATACTTGTTGTGCATGTGACTGTCACAGCCACAAGGAACTTCTATTACAGAGCTCTCAGAGAATGCATTGAGTTATTTTTCCTCTGCACCAGGAACAGAAAAATCTCTGTGTAAAGGTCAGAGGCAGGGCCAGGATCATACTAGATGCTGTGCATAGATAAAATCAAGATCTTCAGGGCTGATAGAGTAAAGTCAGGAAGAGGAATGCTACTTTCACTGCACAGCTTGGAATTAGAACACTCAGCTGCTGACTCAGCACCTGACAGACAAGTTGCAGCTGTACTCAGGTCCAGTTTTGTTACACAAGACTCAACCTTTGGCGGAGGCGGTCTGCAGGACCATAGAATGGCTTGGGTTGGAAGAGATCATCAAGTTTCGATGCCTCTGCCACAAGCAGGGCTGCCAGTCAGTAGATCAAGTGCTAGATGATCAGACTGCCCTGCACCCATCCATCTGGACCTTAAACCCCTCCAGCGATGGATATTTTCCTCTCAGTATCATTCCAACTAGAGATCACACCACTCAAAAATCACTGCCATTGGAGTAGTATGCAGCAGGTGAGCTACAGCTCTGCACCACTGGATTTCCCACCGTGTTCAGATGCCAAAATGAAAGGGAAAGGTTTAAAATACGTACTTCCTTACCCATCCGTGCCCATACCCAACAATACATCCACTGAGTTGATTCTTTACTGTCCTTCCCCTTGCAGAGTTAACAGGATGCAGAGAGTCGGACACAACCAATACACCTCCACTACTGTAGGGTGTTTGGAGCCAGTCGTACTTCGTAAATAGTGAAATGCTTTTGTCAAGTTTTGAAGGGACAGCAATATGATGCATAACAAAATGAGCTTTTAGCAGTTATTTGATTTCCCATTGTGTCCTTTAATAATTAACTATGGAAAGAAGATGAAAGTATTTGTTGCTTCAACAAGGGGGAAAGGTTTACACCTATATTCTATGAAATACCAGCAATACTGTGCTCTAACTGTGATATTTTGCTTAGAACAATTCAGTGAGAATTTCAATTTCTAGCTTTTTAGCAAGACATCTTGGGATTAATAAAGATGATTAAGAAGAAAGATTTTCTGCTTTTATTCTGTACTTTTCTAAAACCTGTTTTATTCAAATGTCTGATTATTAAAAGCTATTAAGGAACTGATTATTGTTTTGGGCTGATGCGTAATCTCATCACAACATCTTGCACACAGCTATTAAATCATTATTTACAACTGTTTGTGAATACAATTAGATCTGGATCATTCAAGCTCCTCCCTGACATTTAAAATACATGTAAACCGATGACTTTGAACAGCTGTAAAATAAAATAAAATAAAAGAGTCAAAGCTCTCCATGGATCTAATTTTGCACTACTGGGATATTTGTCATTGAGGTATGTCCTGTTACAATCTCACACAACAGCTCCCTGAAGTTCATAATTTATTCCTGAGATATATTGTCCTTTATACATCTCATTGACCCTCTCAGTATTACTCTAACTGGAGTGATGTAGAATCAAAACTCATGGGTTTAACTGCAAACCCTCTACTCACCGTCTTCAGCCACTGCGTCACAAGTTTTAACCAAAATCCATTTGCTGCAGTCAAAAGGAAAAGAGAGTGCTTTTATAACTATCTGCCAAGTTGATCTCTGGATGACTGCTCTGGTACCTGGTCTGCTAAGCTGTTCTCATAAAAATACCACTCACTCTGCAGCTGGTTCTCCCATGCTGTAAAACACATTCACTTTCTCAAGCATTTGTCCCAGCCCACAGCATACAGCACATACTGCTGCTTGGGCTTCACATTTCCATGAATTCACAGCACGTTCAATGCAGGATTTCATCATGTGCAGTATCTTGGAAAATACATAATTCCATGCTGTGTTTCTCTCCAACGCAAATCAGAGAAAGCAATTGTCTCAAGTTCTTCCTAAAGCAAGTCAGTTTTTATTCTACACTATACGTTCTCAGAGCTGTCAGCTTTGAACAAGCCCATATTTGAAAATCTCATGCTGTAAACTTGAAATTGCTTTTAGTAAAAGCTGAATCAATAAATATCTTTTCCACATACATTTTAAGGTTATTGAAGATCCCCCCCCACCTTGTTTTGTCACTTCAGGTGCTCAAAAAAAGATGGGAAAGACCAAGATGCCAAAGGAGTCTTCAACTCCACACCACCAAAAGGAAAATAAATGGCAACTGTTCATAAGAAACCCTGTTTCTACATAACATTTGGTTAAACTCTAGAAGAAGAAGAAACTGTTGATGCCAGAGGATCAGCTACAAGGCCTCCCTTCCTGCGGCTCCCTTACAGGAACCCTGGAAGGAAACACAGGCAGTTTTGGGAATTGCATTTGCAGCTTCTCATCGACTCCATCACCACATTGCTCACTCCACACCATCTCTGTGTCCAGCAGCATGCAACCCACTAGATTCTTTAACTGCATTTTTTAATAATCTACTTTGCACATAAGTTCTATCCATTGACATTATTTACGTGGTTATTAACGTAAAGAGCATCATTTGCTTTTTTTATAACAAGTTGCTAAAAGAGCCACATCCTCTCTGCTTCATCCATCTCCAGAGCTAAGGATTTACTGGTTTTCTTTTTTTTGCATTTCTGATTTATTATTTTTGAATAAGAAGATGCAGCAGAGAGGTAGCCCCAAGTATCCCCACATCCGCTGTGGCTGTACCTCCTGTAGGAAGAGCTTCTTTCCCACTCTGTAGGATTTAGGCAGCCTAGGAGATTTCCACCTAATCTAATTTGTTTCACTGGCCTCAGCATTTGCAGCTTCATAGCAGCCATGATATAAATGTATGCTGAAGCAGAAGGTCACCTTCTTTGTACGGATGCTACGTGAAGGTCAAAAGCTAATGTCCAGGGTTACCCCTATGGTTAAGCTGGCTATCAGGCTTTCAGACACTTTTTGGGAATTCAGACAACAGTTATGGAAGCGTAGTGAGATCAAGATCTGGCGAGAGATCCACTGAAGCTTAGTGAGAATGATACCACTGGTGAGTACAGACTTATCCCAGCTAGAGGGAGACAGGAGAGCCACTTCCTTTCCTGGTTGCAACCCACAACCTAACTCAAGTTGGGCTAAGTTCATTTCTCCTAACTCTCTCTTTTAAGCTACCTGGTCTAGAGGGAGGTCTCCCTGCCTATAGTAGGCAGTTGGAACAACATGATCTTAAAGTTCCCTTCCAACCCAAACCATTCTATGATTCTATGATTCTAATGGAAGATTTATCTTCCTTAAATTCCCCTGAGGCTGAAGGCCACGTTCCAGCCCTGCCTCGTTCTCCCTCTTCTAGCAGCAGACCACTGACCCCACCACTGCAGCCTTTGGTCTATTCAGCATCCCTGCTGTCGTGTACAGGATAGGGAGCACCCAGCTGCAAAGCACAACAGCCAAGGGGAAGATGAGATTCAGGGGAGTTTCATCTCTATCAGATGAATGAAGTGAACCAACACAACAGGAAAAACATACCGCCTTCTTGCTGACAGCCCAGCCAGATGTCTGCTGTCCACAGCACTGCCCTGGCTGCAGTGGCTCAGGAGTCCTGCTCCACAATGCATTTTACAGCCACATCTGCTCTGGAAAAGCACTCGAAGGATGATTTATCACAGTGCTGTGTCAAGGAACTGAAAAGTTCCCTGGAACTTTTTCACTTCATACTAACATTCCCAGATCAGTGATGTGCCCTGACATTTTCTATTCCTTCTCGTATCATTATTGTTGTGTGCTGTGGCCACATAGAAAATGGAAACTAAAAGCAAAGGCCAAAGTTAGGAAAGGACACAGGTCCATTTCATCACCAGTTATTAAGCAAATTAGCATCAACATCTCTTGCCCCCAGGGAAACCCTGCTTAGGACAAACCTGCAGTACCTACTGCAGAGGCCATGAGCAAGACCATGTAAGTGAAAAAAGAGAACCAGTGCTCCTAGAACATCCTCTGCATTGGGCCAATCTCAAAGGCACTGGACCCAAAATAGGAGCAAAGACTTCCATTAATATTATGCACTGCTTGGGTTGGGTGCCGAGATCTAAATAGCCATTTTTTCTACATTTCCCATTTGACACACCTCTCAGTCTGAGTATGGGGAGAAATACAGGTTTCACATTAAGATAATTCTTAAGCATGAAGTAGAGAGGAGTTGGGTCCATGGGTGGTGACACCATGCCCTGAACCTTGATGAAACTTTTGCAGTCCTTGATTTCCTGGAGCTCCTGTTCCTGGAGCTCACCAGAGCATTCACTTCCTGCTCCAGGCACCCATCTTGATGTTCTTCTACCCTCAGCCATGCAATACTTCCATAAAGGGCACCCAAAAAAAGATGCTGGTGACCCAATGCTTGCAAACAGTGTCCAGATGTGGGGTTTCCAAAATAGAGACCCAACCTGAGAAATCACCTAATTGCACATTAAGCATTAAGTAAACACTGTCACAAACTTCTCCAGCACCTTCTTTTTAAAAAGTCTTCTTCAG